TGGCTAAAACTTCCAAAACTATGTTGAATAAGAGTGGTGAGAGTGGGCAACCTTGTCTTGTTCCTGATCTTAGTGGAAATGCTTTCAGTTTTTCACCATTGAGGATGATGTTGGCTGTGGGTTTGTCATATATGGCCTTTATTATGTTGAGGAAAGTTCCCTCTATGCATACTTTCTGCAGGGTTTTTATCATAAATGGGTGTTGAATTTTGTCAAAAGCTTTCTCTGCATCTATTGAGATGATCATATGGGTTTTCTCCTTCAATTTGTTATTATGGTGTATCACATTGATTGATTTGCATATATTGAAGAATCCTTGCATTCCTGGAATAAACCCCACTTGATCATGGTGTATGATCTTAATGCTATGAGACTAGATATCAATTACTGGAAAAGATCTGTAAAAAATGCAAACGCATGGAGGCTAAACAATACACTACTTAATAATGAAGTGATCACTGAAGAAATCAAAGAGGAAATAAAAAAATACCTAGAAACAAATGAAAATGGAGACATGACAATCCAAAACCTATGGGATGCAGCAAAAGCAGTTCTAAGAGGGAAGTTTATAGCAATACAATCCTACCTTAAGAAACAGGAAACATCTTGAATAAACAACCTAACCTTGCACCTAAAGCAATTAGGGAAAGGAGAACAAAAAAAACCCAAAGTTAGCAGAAGGAAAGAAACCATAAAGATCAGATCAGAAATACATGAAAAAGAAATGAAGGAAACAATAGCAAAGATCAATAAAACTAAAAGTTTGTTCTTTGAGAAGATAAACAAAATTGATAAACCATTAGCCAGACTCATCAAGAAAAAAAGGGAGAAGACTCAAATCAGTAGAATTAGAAATGAAAAAGGAGAAGTAACAACTGACACTGCAGAAATGCAAAAGATCATGAGAGATTACTACAAGCAACTCTATGCCAATAAAATGGACAACCTGGAAGAAATGGACAAATTCTTAGAAATTCACAACCTGCCGAGACTGAACCAGGAAGAAATAGAAAATATGAACAGACCAATCACAAGCACTGAAATTGAAACTGTGATTAAAAATCTTCCAACAAAAGCCCAGGACCAAATGGCTTCACAGGCGAATTCTATCAAACATTTAGAGAAGAGCTAACACCTATCCTTCTCAGACTCTTCTAAAATATAGCAGAGGAAGGAACACTTCCAGACTCATTCTACAAGGCCACCATCACTCTGATACCAAAACCAGACAAAGATGTCAGAAAGAAAGAAAACTACAGGCCAATATCACTGATGAACATAGTTGCAAAAATCCTCAACAAAATACTAACAAACAGAATCCAATAGGTATATTTTTTAAGGGTCTTGTACTGAGATGTTGGAGAAAATATAATGCTATCCAACACTGACAGCCTACTGAGATTCTTGGAAAACTTCTCAAGTGAAATTGTTTCCTCTACGTTCAGCAACATAGAAGTTTGACTTCAAGAAAGCATTCTTGGTTTTTAAAAAAACTCCAAATTTCTTTGTGTAAAGTTAAAATGGCCTTGCCTGTGAGTGTCCTTATGACCCTTTGACTTAGCTGTAATTGGCTGATCGTCCGTGTTCCTGAATTGTCCTAATACACCGTCAACTATGCATTCACGTTGTCTGTCATTTGTTTGTTTGTTTGTTGAAAATCTCAAGGACCAGAAATTCCAAATGACTCTTCCCTTTGGAGGTGGACACCTGCGGCACGGTCCCACCTCCTGTTGACACCAGTGCCTCTCTGAAGCTGAGGAGGTCTGTTCACAGAACCCAGACATGGAGGGTCCCCAACCCCCGGGGGCAGGGGTCAGGGGGCGAAGGCCCAGCCCTGGTCTAGGGAGACAGGCTCTGTGCGGATGGGTCACCAGCGGGACCGAGCCCCAGGGCTAGCTCAGTCTCGCTCACTGTGCTCACTTGGCTCCCTTCTCTGTCTGGCTTTTCCAGCCACCTCACTCCTGTGACCTCGGTACCATTCAGATCCTCATAGGGAGTTTTACTCTTCACTCCCTGTAAGGATTTGCCATGTACCTAGTGTGGAAGGTCATCAAGTGAAAATACCTCGTGTTGCAGTACTTACCTCAAGCGTCTGTAGTTGCTGCTTCCTCTGTCCTAAATGCCATTCCTCTAGATGTGACTTGCTTCACTCCCTCAAATCCTCACGATCTTGTTCAAATGTCACCTCCTTGCTGACAACGTGTCGACCATCCTGGAAACTAATACCCTTACCTGTGCCTTTGCTTCTCTTGTGACTTTTCTCCATGGCACTAATCCTCATCTGACATTCTTTATATGTTATTGTTTGTTTGTCATCTCTCGCCCTTTACAAAAATCCAAGAGGACTGGAGTTTCACCTGTTTTGTACGTTGACCTGGGCCTTCTTCACCCACAACAGCACTTGGTACAAATAGGCACTCAAAAAAATAAAAAAGAAAAAATAGGCACTCAAATATTTGTTGAACACGAAATTTATATGGCAGTGGTTTTCTAAAGAATATGGCCAGGAAAATGCTTTTTCCCTTCAAGATGTTTTTAACCTTGTAATGAGCATTATAAATGTATTGTGGTATCTCTTTTGCCTTGGCTAAATTTAATACTCAATTCGAGCAACTTTGATATCCTTTGTTTCAGCATTCGATACGTGCTAGTTAATATTTCTATGGATGAAGATTTTCAAGGAATTAGCTGTTAACTCGACAGAGAAGAACTCAGTCAACCCAAATGAAACAGACAACATTGTGATCACTGATATGTACTTACTATTCCATTACCTTCCAGAGAGGCTAAAAAAAAGGATTAAGTTAGCTCAGTGGTTCTCACAGCCTGGTCCCCAGATAAGCCCCTTCAGGATGCCCTGGGAATTTGTTAGAAATGCAGATTTGGGGGCTCCACTCCATAGCCACTGAATCAGAACTTCTACTCATTGAGGGGGCCCAGCAACCTGTGTTTTACCAAACCTTCCAGGTAATTCTGATGCACACTGAAGTTTGAGAGCCATAAAATTAGATAACACACTCAGATTTTAATGAAAGAGACTATATCAAACTCATTTTTTCTCTTATGTCTTAAAACAGATTTCTGACTCCGTTTTAGTGGTCTTTGCTGAAAGGCCAGGGGTAGATGAGGAAACTTCATGGAGTAAAATCACTGCTTGACAAATATTCTCTGAACTTAAGGGTGAAATCTCAAATCCCAGCCATTCTGAGGAGCAAACCTATTCACATCCTTGCTATAATATCTGAATTTTAGAATAAAGATGTTCTTAAGGATACAAATTAGTATACAGTGTTCTCTAAAGTTAGATTACCATGTCTATGGTTGATACCAATTAACGTTCTTACTGTTGAATATGGTACCACGGAGGACACATGATTTGGAGCGTGAGGTGTTTCTTCAGAGGTGATGGAGGGGTCCCACCTGCTGCCTTTTGCTAAGAACAGACTGCGATTTTTGTCTCTTACAGGTATACACATGTGGTAAAAGATTATTTCACTTCCTTACACGTGCCCAATGGCTATTTCCAAGTTTGGGGAAATGTTTCCTTCTTCCTAAAAAAATGAGTTCTTATCCATCTTAAATATTTTCTTACCAATTCAAAGTGAGGCTACCAAAACAACAGCATGAATCCCTGGAGGAACGCTCCTACACAGACAGGAAAACGCCTATAATTCTTGTTGATCAGAGGAAGTCCCAGAATACACGTTAGTCTAAAGGGTTCCCTCAGGTCTTCTAAAGAGCTATTAATAAAATAATATATATACACAAACAAATAAACTTAATAAAATGTGTTTCAGTACCTCTTACAGGGCCCTGGTTCATTTGTTCATTTGTACCTTTTCACTGGTATACTGAGGTTAATATATTTCATTTTTATCACTGTTAGTGTAATTATAATTATGTTTATGATTTCTCATTGTTTTTTCCTCTTTGTACACACACGCAGAAATTGTGCCTTCTATTATGACTGCAGAATTGACTATATATACAGAAACGTAATGAAGTACAAGAAGCATAATGAAGGTTCGAAACAGGAAGGTTTTTTTTTTTGTTTTTTTTGTTTTTACTGCAAAGAGGAGGTTTCCATCCTGTGAGGTCTTGACACAATTATTCTGTTTTCTTTCAGATAAAAAAAGTTTGTGTTTAATTCCATTTCAGTGTTTTCCTGTTTCTCTTTGTAGAGTTTCTCTACTCTCATCAGATATGGTTTTTCACAGATTTGGACACTGTGGGTCTGTGGGAATAAGGTTCGTAACCACGTATGTGAAAACAATTTCCTGTAAAGCTTCATGAGTCCATGCAGATACACATATGAGTACCAATTGACATGTCTGCTCTGAGAAGCTGCAGGGCCTGTGTCTCCACTTCACCCTAAACTCATTTCCTGCCAGGCAGAACTCTTGAAACAGTTCAAGCAAAATCATTCTAAGAATATAGTGAATTATGTGCTGATCTCATGAGGGGAGCATTAAGCTCGTCGTTTGCCAGGAGTTCATTTCTCAGTAACCCTGATGCACCACTTGCCAAAAAATTGCCGTTTAGTGCTTCAGTTCAGAAGTGATTTATTTTTAAAAGTATTTCCAGATGTTTGAATTCACCTTCAAAAAGCCACATTTTCAAGTGAGTGACCGTGACTCTCAGCTACCCTGTCAAGTCCTGCACTTTTGTTTAATGTGTTGAAATAAAGATGCCTATTTGTTTTGACTCACCGCCGTCTTAGCTCAGGAAACCCCCACTGCACATGCGCTGAGACCAGCTTGCAGGACTGCGTGGGGGGGCTGGTGCCACATCTGCTTCTAGTCTGTCCAGCCCCAGTGAGGATTGCCCCGCTGCTGCTGCAGCTGCTCGTGAGAACCTGGGCTCCTGCTGCCTCCCATTACCAAAGAAAGGAAGAGGCCAAACGGCTGAGTGACCTCTGTCATTTCGTACCATTCTCTGTGTAAACACGTTTCTGGGGATGAACAGCGCACTCAGAGCGGTGTACGTTTCCTGTCTTCCAGGGGCAGAATGAGAGCACGTGTGCATTCCGTGCACTGGAGTTTAAATCTCGGCTCTTGCTAAGACACAAAGTGGCTGTAAGTTGTGTGTTTATCAATTGTCTACTTGGTCCATGGAAGCAGGGAAAAGTCATTTTCTGTGCAGAATTGGAAAATTGTATTTTGTTTACTTACACTGAATACAGAGAAAGTTCTACCCTCCCTTTAAATTAGAGATTTATTGAACCTACTGCTTAGCAGCTGCTTCAGAATATTTTGACATTAGATGTAGGCTCTTAGAAAAAGCACGTATTTATGAAAAAATAAAACTTTATGAAATGATCTTTCTCGGCAGGAGGCCAGCTAGCAATGGACACGTGCTGGGTCAACTATTGTAAATGGAGTTCTAATTTATTAACTTACAGTGCACACTGCTTTTGGAGTTCTATCCCAATGAGTGGTCGTCTTCACAGTGCCCTGCAGTGCCTACTGCACAGACCACAAGATTTCTCCCTGCAGACTTGCGTATTCAGTGTGTGTGGGGGGGGGGGGGGTGGGAATTCTTCAGATTGCGGGCTAGAGCTTCTGTTTAGATGCTTGTCTGAGCTGAGAACTCTTCTGGCACTTGGCCATGATGATTAACACCATGGCCTTCAAATTGGCCGGCCATGGATTCAAGCCAGCTCTCATTCACTAACCATGTGAACTCGGGAAGGTAGCTTTGTGTCCACTCGTTTTTAAAATGGAGATACTCTTACCACAACCATTGTGAGTGACGAGGCTCCGAAAGTAGATTTGTCACAGAATAGGTGCTATGTATCTACTTTTTATATATATATAAAATTGTAATTATTTCTATTACGGTTATGACCAACTATATGCCATCTTGAGTATCTACTGTGGGATTCTAAAGCAGAGCTCCTTGAATGAGAATGACTTACAGAAAAATAGCAAAGCCAGTATTCCTTTCTTAAGCGATATCTTGATTCAGTCACTTTTGAAATGTCATCGTCACCTTAATTATCTTAAGAACATACTCTTTCTTTTTTGTTTATGCATCATTTTTATCAGAGAACTTCGTGTAGGGAGAAGATTTGTTTCTTCCTGTGTAGCAGGCAGAAGTCAGTCTGTGACCCCTGCTAAGCACGGAGCCTTCAGGGGGCAGCTGAATAGAGCTTTCTTGCAGCCTTGCTCTGGTTTTTGTCCATGTGTCCACGGCCCTAAACTTTACCAGTTCCAGCGCGTGTGTAAACCACAGAATAATGGATATGAAATTGGAAAGCTCGCACCCTGAAACTCCGTTGCCAGGGAATGCGTAGCAGTGTTTATAGGAAGTAAATGGTGCTGACAACACAGTATCCACTTTCAGCTCTGATGTCAAACAGGAAGCAGCTCTTCCTGCCAGAGGGGCCCAAGCGTCTAGCTCCGCTCTCCTGTCTGCCTTCAGCGGGGCGGGTGTACGCTGTGTGCACGTTTCCCTGCATCTTTCTGGGGACTCCAGGCGGGTATGTCCCAGAATGTCCCTCCTCCTCAGAGACGCATTCTCCTAGATCGGATCATCGTTGGTAACCCTTCCCTTTCCTTTGGTTCCCGGCTTCTCTTCAATGGGTCCAGACTGGCTTATTTCTGTTACGGACTTTGAACTGAGGGGGATCCGTCAGGCGCAGTCTCAGCGGCTGACCACTTGTCCTGGTGTGCCGGGCTACACCACTTGTTCCCATAATTAATACGACTGCTCCCTTTCCCTTGCAAAGTGACCCGGTTTAGAAATAAGTTGTAGGAGTCTCAGTCCCGAGTCTCAGACAGTGTGGGCACAGCGTTTGCACTGCTGCTTCAGCCTCTTTCCTTCTGACGGAGACTGGGAAGAGGAGGTCGGTGTGCCTCTCCCTGGCTGTGTGTCTCCCCGGCTGGGTAGGCTGCAGTGCAGTGGGGTCTTGGCCAGTCCCCTCTTTGCCAGGGTCCCTAACTCTGCTACTGATTTCCAGGCAGCCTGTAGTTCTTTGACAGGGGTTGGAAGCGGAAGGCTGGCCCTAAGGGCATCCTTGGATGGGAATATGCCACACCCCACTCTGTGCCAACCCATCTTCTGGAATATGGCAGTTGTATTGCCTTCGGCAGATCTAAGCCAACGGGGCTGGCATGTGTGGAAGAAGTCATGGTTATGGCCAACTCTGGGGACTGCTCTGAGCAGTAGGGGGTGCCTGCTTAGTTTTCTGTTCAGTGAATCCTGGATATTTGGGCCTGCAGGGAAATACTAACACTTTTCCCTACCAGCTTTGCCACCCTCTCTCTGCGTTATATCGGTTCACAGAGTCCAGTATATAACTCCAAAATGTACTTTTCTATATATCTTCATTGATGATGCAGTTATTATAATTTTTCTAACTTTGGCATATGATAATCTCCATTTTCTAAGTAATGTTGCTGATTTTTCCCTTGTGTGTGTTCATGGCCATACAGCTCTCCATGGGACTTTAGTAGAGGATAAATCAGGCACCAATAAATTGACAAGTTAACTCCAAATTCCCAATTCAGTTAATACCTGGTTGAGTTATGTCCTTAAATATTTCCATTTGTTTTATTCTGTCTTCAGATGTGAGGTGGTTCTATGATTTTTTATTAATACTGTTTACATGGCAAGTAATAGAAACTGACACTGGCTTGAGAAAAGGAGAATTTATTGGAAAGATACTGGAATATCTCGCAGAACCCAGCAACGAGCTCAGTAACCAAGGCTTGAGGAAAGGGAACAGGGAAGCACTGAGGTCCTGGCAGCAGGGGGACAGTAACATCTGCTGTGTAAGTCTCCAGATTCTCAGCCCCAAATTACACATTCCTGGCACGAAATCTGATGGCCCGGTTTGACTGTGGCATGGGGGTAGGGTCACTTAACACAGACATGACTGTTGGACAGTGTTCAGAGCAGGCAGACTTGCAGCAGGTCAGCCTCTTTAAGTGGTGTCTACTCCAGTTTCCTATGTGGGCTATCTTGGTTACATCTTTTGTATCAAAACTATCGAAATATGAAATGTTCTCTCAGCACTTCCCTTGGCCATCTCCCACATTTGTGCATCCAGGACATCTGTACTCTAAGGAAAGGCATGTGATAGCTAAAAAGAGAAAAACTGGATTATTTTAGAAGGAGTGTTCTTATGAGATGGTAAGGAGATTATTAACCCAAGCCTTCTCTACCAAGATTATTCCCTGACTTGGGGAAGGGTATAACGTTAGAAGGGAAACTGTGAGAATGAAAATACCATTAGATCTCAGCAAGAGTGAGCGGGCATGCTGCTCCCCAGACCAAGCCCCAGGCGGGTGACAGAAACCCCGCCTGATTTGTGGAGCTGAGACACTCAGGGGTTCCTGGAGAGACAGTGAGACCCGCAGAAGAAAGGAATAATTCCCAAGCACGTAGGAGCAGCGTGGAGTGGCAGACAGCCACCGAACCCAAGAGTTCATGAAGATGGGGAAGACAAACGACCCCACACGCAATCAGCTGCCTGTATCACGGGTCAGATGGGGGGATGGACACGCCAGCAGATGCCTGGAATGCAGCAGAAGGTGCACAGATGAATGAATGAATGAGTGACACTGTGGCAGTTGGTAAACTCCCTAGAATTTAGACACAATCCTGGTGAAATTTTAGGTTAAAATTCTTCCATCCTGAGTTGGAAAAGGAAAACAAAAACAAAGAAAATTTACATTTCTGCAATGACTGAGGTTGTAAACTGATATATCTGCAACATTTACTTACTAAAACTGAACTGCATGCAATTGTAACTTTTTCTGTGCTGGGGGACTTTTTATATGGGCTTGGGTTCATTTATTTCTTGAAAGTTTGAGAGCCTCCACCATCAATCCTAGTTGTACACATACAAATGTAGCTTTTGTGGAAATGGACAAAATTTTGACATTTTTGACAGTGGTTGTTTTCTGAAGAAATGAAATTATTTACTCTTCCCTCTTGCTGTGTCAGTATCTTAAAATACATTTCCCTTTGTTAAAAAGTGATGTATCCATTTGTATACGATTTAAAAAATTCAAGTCAAGCAGAGGGAAGACAAATTATCCATAATTTCACTACTCAGAGAAAAAATACTGTTAAGAAATTGGTGTCTATTTATTTATAATTCTTAATATATAATACTTTACATTTTAATCAACTTTATTTTCCATTTCTTTTAAACATTTAAATTCATTATAATTGTGTAGTATTTACTTATAATTTTATTTTAAAATATTTTATAATGTTATTCTTTTTATTATTTTAATGCTTGCTCATTGTAAAGGATTTGGGAAACATACTAAAATATAAATAATACGATAAAAACCATCACACAACTTTTAACATTTTGGTGTTTTTTCCTTTCAAATCTTCGTGTGTATACACAAGCACACACAGGCAAATTTCAATTTTATGTATATTGTTTTATAATTTATAAATTTAAAAATTCTCATTTATCTTCTTTTTCACTGAATAAATTTGTTTCAAATTTATCTATTTCAGTTATCTTCTAAAATATTTTTTTCTTGGTGCATCCACTGTGGAAACCAGTATTGGAGGTTTCTCAAAAAACTAAAAATAAAACTACCATATGACCCTGCAATTCCACTCCTGGGTATAAATCTGAAAAAAGCAAAAACGCTAATTCAGAAAGATACATGCACCTCAGTGTTCATAGCAGTGTTATTTACAAGAGCCAAGACATGGAAACAACCTAAGTGTCCATCAACAGATGAATAGATAAAGAAGATGTGGTATA